TTGATGATAGATATTAGAGTCTAGAAACATTGCAATATCCATGGAGTAGGTTAGGTCCGCAAATGGATCCAATCGAATCGGATATAGGTAAAATCCAAATTTGATTCATCTATACTTCCAATTTAAATCAGACATTGCCCATAGATTTATATCAGATTCGAATCGAATTTGGATTGTAATTGGATATTGTATAAGTAAATAAAATTAAAAATGCTTGAAATATTACACTTTATTAATAAAATTTACTGAAAATGACTTTGATATTGTATTTCATGAATAAAATGAATTGAAAATTACTTGTATGAAACTTGAATCTCTGATACTTTAGTAAAATCACAACATTCAAACTATGTTTGAATATATATATTATATAAACAGGTCGAATTTGAATCACCCTTAGTGCCATTGAATTCAAATTTGATTTCAGGTAATTCAATACCTTTTGCAGCCCTAAAGTCGGTTGATGCTTCATAGCTTCTTTTTTTTTTCTTTTTTTGGACTTGAAGGTACTAGATGCAACTAGTACTAACAGAAGGATGCAGAATGTGCTTTGTGTTTATTTATGATTCTTAATGGAACACTGCTACAAAGTGACCTGTTCATGGGCAGGGTAGCCCAATGGGCCGGCCTCATTTAAGTTGGGCTTGGATAGGATTTCAGGCCTATAGGCTTAGGCTTGGGTCTAAAACATTGGGCCCGACCTTCTTATGGGTCGGTGTCAGGCTTTCTCAGAAAAGCCTAGCTCGAGCCTGACTTGATAATGTATTATATAATAAAATATATTTTATATAATAATTTATATATATAGTATTTTTTTTTCTTTATTATTCTTCTCTGTTTTCAAGTAATAGTGAGAGCTTTCATTATTTTTTTAGGTTTTGAGGTCTTTTAATATAAATAAAATAGTTGGGCTCGGGCTCGGGCTTGAGCATATTTTGTTAATGTAAAGGCAAAGCCCGACCCATGAATAGGTCTAGCTACAAATTACATTGTTCCTTACCTGTGATTTATATTTATTTATGATTTAAAATCATTCAGAAACTCTTGAAGGAGGGAACATGGGAGTGACTCCAATATGTGATAAAATGAAAGAAGTAGACTAAGATAGCTTAGGCATGTGTTGAGGAAGACCATCATTGTTGCAAAAAACCTAAGGAAAGCAAATTCGAATGGCACCCAGAAAGAAAGTAAAACAGAGATAAAGAGAAGCAAGTATAAAGAACACAAAGATTTATATGGTTCGGCTTATAGTCTACATCCACGGGCGAAGGAGGAATAGAAATCCACTATGTAGTCGGCAACGGAGAAGAAATACAAAGTTGTGCACTCACAACCTCACCCTGAACCCCAAATACACCCAATGTCTCACTCTTCTCTCATAAAACAAAGACCAAGTATGCAAGAAAGAAAACCCTTGAAATACACAACTCTTCGTATTCAGTTCGGACCTATAAGCTGAATATGGATCGGGTCCATACCACTATGGGGGCTACGCCCCCACACCCCTAAAGGTGATTTGTGGTGGGCACCAAGCCCTACACTTCCACCACAAATCACTATGAAATTTTGCCTTCAGGTTTTTCTCAAATTAATTTGGAGTGGGTTCATGAAGCAGATTGCCACAAAGAATTCAAGGCACAAACATAAAAATCACAATCCCAGTAAGAAGTAGTTTCTTACAAATTTAATGAGCCAGAAGAGCTGAAAATAGATGAAAAATGACTTGGATTGAATTAGTGAGAATTGATTTAAAGGTCCATGGTTTAACAATGGATATGATATTGAATAGTGAATACAACACAATAGTGGAATAGTCAACCCCATATTGGGTATAGACAAGGTTCAAAATTTGAAAATGTATTAGTAGGTCACTGATATGCAAAAGACAGGTGTTTTGGGGTTTTGACACATTTCAAGAGGTTGGCACCTATAACCTACCCCTGCCTATTTTTTCAAAAAAAAAAATGATGTGTGATGTTCAAAGTACTGATACACCTCTTCCAAAGTATCAGAGGATATATTTGAACCTTGGGTTTAGATTATGATGATACAACAAAATTTAGAAACATTTCTCTCCTTTTTTTTTATTTCCTTTTGCTTTCTTTGTTCCTTTCTCTTTTCTTTCCTTCCCAAGGAAAACAATCCACAATCAACCCTTGCTTTCATCGTAGAAGAAATTGTGATGGGCTTTCTCATTCATGCCTCTCTATTTTCTAGTGGACTGAGATGGTTAGATGGAATGATGGGTATGGTCTATTATAGGGGTGAGCAAATGTGTAGGTTCTACCCAAAATTGAATGTATTCGATTTCAAACCAGCCTTGAACCAATCCTACCCAATCTATTACAGGTAGGGTTTGGTTCCAAGACTATTCCAGGTTCTGGGGGTTTATCCTATTCAAACCAACCCAATGAACTGGCCTTGGTGGAACCAACATTGTTGGAACTAGCCTTGGAATTGAATTTGCCTTGAAATAAACCCTAAAATACTTTTGAGGATGTTAAGATTTGAACCTAATCGCTCATGGATACAAAGGCCGTGGTCTCACTTAACCATTGAGTTACATAAGTGATTTGATCATTTATTTTCATTTTAAGATTTGAACTAAGAATGGCCTTGTACTAAGTATGGGACCATTAATTTGAATTATTTCAATTCTTTAAATTATTTATATTAGACATTTAGGTTGGGATTTTTATTTGATTTAAGAGACTTATCATGTTTTATCTAGAGAATGACCCCATATTAAGGGGCAACTACAGTATCATTTAATTTGAAACTTACTATTTAACTATAAAAATTAAATTAAAAAAAAAAGTAACATGGGTCTTACATCTTACCTACTTTGTTTGAAAATCACTATTAATTTATGTTGTTTTTAATATAATTTAAGAGATAAAATGAGGTCTTATTTGTAAGCAATAACCCACTTTAATTGGTATTCACTATTTATTTGATAAATTTATTTTTAAAAGCTAAATTAGTTTATGCTTAAAAAAAAGTTAATTCTAGTTTGCAATTAATAAACTATTTCATTTAAAAGAATGAAGCTCACACCATTTGTATAAATTGTTTAGTCATTTTTATGAATTTCATTTATTTTTATTTTTATCCATTTAACATTTTGAATATTTTTAAGTTAAATTACTTGTTTAATCGTTACTTTTGAAATGATTGTGTTTGAATAAAATTCAGTTACTATCATAACATTTGTGAATGGATAGATTTTTTAAGAGTGAGAGTTTAACATCTTCTAAGATTCTATCTATTAAAATTTTACAATGCCACATGTAGGGTGGGGCTGTTGCCGGAAGACCTTCCTAATCATTATAATCATTATATATATATATATATATATATAAAAGATGGTTCAAAACTAATCATTATAATTTATTACACACACATACATATATAAAATAGATGTGTATAATAAATTATAGTGATTAGTTTTGAACCATCTTTTAATATATTATGATAATCTACATATAAATTACTTATTACTCAATTTAATCAATAAAGATGATATAAGTTCTAAACTATGTAAGTATGTATTGTATTTATTGAAAATCAAATTTTTAAATAATGTCTTTCATTTTCTTTCTTGAAGGGGGAGAGTAAAGAAAGAGCAAATTTCATGGGTAACCCTAGAACCAACCTCAGAACTGCCAAGGCTAGAACTAACCCTAGAACCAACCTCTACAAGGTAGGTTCCAATTCTAAAAACCTGAAACCAATCCCTACAGGGTAGGTTTCAGGTTCTCCCATGGAACTGAATCAAACCGATGACCCATGCTCACTCCTAGTCTGACATACAAGCTGTGGGAAGTGTTGATTTTTAAGATGAGCTTAGAACAAACTACTTCCGTAAAGCCAATTTGTACTGGGGTGAGGATGCAGGTAAAGTTCAGCCTAATCACATGAGTTGCAATCTTCTTTTTTTAGGGGGGTGAGGGGAGGGTTTAGACAGAAAAAGGAGCTTTAACGCAGGACAATCCAACCCCTTGAAATCATGAAAGTAATGATGGCAACCTCACTTGGGAAGTGATTTTCTTGAGTTGGCTTGGTTACATTTATGTTCTAACCTATTAACAAAGTCAGCAGCCTGATTGACTTCTCCAAAGATATAAAAAGCTATATATTTTTAGCTTCACATGAAATTTTCTATCAGATCCAAGGGTTACCGGGGGGAAGCACAAAGCCCCAATTATTCAAAAGTGTTTCCGAAACACTTTTTTTTTTTGTTCAATTCTGTTTTCCACAGCCCAAGGCCGATTGGACTGGATTTGGTCCAATCCAGTCGAGTCCAATGTGAGTTCATTACAAATGGACCAGGTCCAATCCAATCCAATGAATATTTTGGACCGGTCCAATTCAATATCTGGACCATCCAATCTGTTCAAATTCATTTTAATTTAGATTGGTTTCAACCCAAACCTGGTCCATTGACACCTATATTCTTATCTTATATCAATGGACCAGATATTGGCTTAATCCAACCTAATCCAATATAAATTTATTACAGACGGACCAGGTCCAGTCCAATCTAAAATATTTTGAACTGGATTGGTCCAATCCAATGTCTTGTTGGTCTGTCCAATCCATCCAAAATTGATTTTGGACTGTCCAAAACCGGTCCATTGACACCCTTATTCAAAAGCAGAAGCTTACTTCAATGCTTTGTTAACTCTGATACTACATTTTAGTTTTATCTTGGCTGGTCTAGTGGTCTTTAATAGGCAAAAGAGCTTTTATCTTGAAGCTTACCACCATATTCTTGTCATAAGCAGTAAAGCATGATTCCTCAAGAACATCAGAGCCCTACCTATTCAGTCAAAACAAAGCCTGTTAAAGAAATGCTTCGGTTTTCATTGGCCTCCCTGAGAAAAAGGGAGATCAATGCTTGTCTAGCTTATAATTCATGATATTAGAGGGAACAACTTGAAGTTTGTTGTAGTAGAAGCCTTAGGCTGTTGTTGGTGACTGTTGGGCCAAGTAAGATCTAGATAATGGAAATGGCATTGGCTTTGTCTTTTGTGTACATGCAAGCATATGCACTTGTAATCACTAATCAGTGGGCAGACACTACATGAACCTTATGAAGAATGCCAGATCAGTATATGACTAGACCTTCATCAGGAGAGTGACTAGAGCTTTCGTCCATGGACTGGTTCAATCAATTTCCCTCTCAATGCTTTGTTCACCATGAGACTCCGCTTCTACTCTCTTCTCAGATAGCAAATCTCTAGTAGGAATTTTTCCACACAGCCACACAGAAGACAATGCTTTGTTAATTTGTTTAGTGCCTTGTATCCAATGTCCTGTTGCATCCATTTCTTTGACAATTTGGATCCTTCATTTGAAACTTGAAGGAAGTAATTAATATCCCACCATAAGGATGTTGAAACTTGAAGCCAAAAATGAAGATAATCCAATAAAGCAACCCCAGAAATGTGAGAATGTTTAAGCATAAAATTTTCTTCTGTAATCCTTGGTAGCTTTATATGATATCTATTGATATAATACAGAATGAGCAAGAATGAACTTTCATGACCAGAGGTACATGTGAGCAGAGACTGAAGGCAAAACCTTCTTCCCTCTGCTCAAATTGCACCTCCGGCTCTGTTCAACATATGTATAAGAAAGGAGAACTTCTTTGCTCTCTTCATTCTATGATATCACATTTTCTTATAAAATCATTAGAAAAATTAACGTATGCATTCCATAGACCACGTAGCTCTGGAAACCCTATATCCAGCCATGGTTTTGCAGGGCCACTGAAGTGTATGACAGCAGCAGCTTCCAACGTTTTCCAAGCTATTCTAAGTGGTTGCTGACCCAATCCAGCCATGTGCCATGAAGGATCAATTGGATGAACATGACCCTCGAAAGCAAGTAATGCGGGTGGAAGCGCTCCAGGACACCAAAGTGTAAAGTCAGAATTGAGATTCTGTTGCAGTGAAACCATATGGTTAGTACAATAGATAATGATGTAATATACATGCTATACAATTTCAACTAAATCTAATTCAAATGACTGCTAAGGCTTCAGAAACAAGAACATATTATTAATCAAAAGAACAGGAAGCACTTACAAGTTCAAGCCAATAATGGTATTTCTTTGTGATGCTGGTTCTCCTCCATGCTTGTAGATCAAAAACATTCATTCCATATAACCATGAACAATCATCATATTCGAACTCTGATGATACTAATGAATTTGAGAAATTCAAGTAATCCCCATATTTTCTTCCAGGGAGACATTCATTTCTCTCACTTTCTCCTTGTCCTCTTCCTGAGTTAACAACTGCACCAATAACTTTCCCATTGAGATCCAATTCCCATAGAGTTGACAAGTCATGTTGTACTACTACATCGTCATCCAAGAATACTATTTTGTCAAGATCTGGAAATAGCTGGAGACCAAGAAAATTGACAATCAATCAAACACTGGTTACAAATTCACATAATAATCATCTGCTCAGTTTACCAAATGCAGAAAACCATTACCTCGGGGAGATAAATCCTAAGATGATTTAAGAGGGAGAGGCTGCTAGGACTCAAGGCATCCAATCTTCTGTTCAAGTCTCCCTCCTCAAAATCATCAAGTTTTCGTTCTTGGAGACTGTTATAGTAGTAATGATGCCAAGTTGAACGATGAATCTCCAACATCTCCTTCACTCCAACATTAACTTGATGAGGCCAATCAACCTGATGTAATCCCTTGACCTCCATCACAGCTGGAGCTACAGGATTAAGTGCAAACCATGCATGCATGGGTGCATAAGTCTTCTTGTCAGTGAGTAAGTGAAACACCATTTTTTCTGGATAAGCAGAGTTTTTCAGGGCAGAAGAGATCACAACAGAGGCAGCCAGAATGTTGTCAGTTAGGAGAGCAAGATGAAAGTATGAGGGATCAGCAAGACGAGACACTGACTCTGGTGGTGGCAATGGAGCTCGAGCCAAATAATTAATAGAGTACTCTTCAGCCAGCCTTAGAGATAGGCAATGCATGCTTTTTGGGATCCCATATGAAGCAAAATGCCTGTAAACCAGTTCCTCATGTCTTGCTAATTGGACCTTGTGCTCCATTTTCATTAGCTGCAATGTAACAAGAAGGTTGGTTTCTGATTTAAGAGGATTATTAAGTTATGACTAGAACCATGCCATGCTAAGCTGCCACATTTGATCTAAGCAAATTTACCAAGAGAGGTTATTACAGTCTATGTGTATGTTGGAACACCAAACTTAACAAATAGTACAGAAGTTTCAATAAATATGGTCGCCCTATTAAATTCTTTTGAATGGATAAATTACCCAGAGAAATTGCATTGTTTGAGATAGTCTGGTTTTGTCCAATTTATTTATTTATACCCACACCTTCTGAATAATGGTAAAACTATAAAATAACCTTTGGATATGGGATGGTTAAGAGAACAGTTTTCTGTCCATCTAGTAACCACAATTAACAATAAAGAGGCAAGGAAGCAAGTAAATTAACTATTAGCCAACTTAAATACACTAAGCTCTGAAGCCAAGTATTATATCCATATTGTCTAAAAAATACAGGTGAGCCCCATTTGTCCAAATTCTTATTAAAGCCATCCTAATTTAATCCACTTATAATTGGATCCAATATGAATCCACCCCATACATATCCGGTCCAATAAAGTTGAAGCATATAGAGTTGTATCTACATAAAATTAATTTGCATCTTTAGTAAAGTTGGATTAATGTTGTATGCTTACTAAAGAGAAATAGGTTCAAGTCTCATAGAAGCTATGTAAGTCATTTTATTTTGGACTACGATCAGATTGAGTTGGATATGCCTAGATCCAAAATTGATCCCTTGATATTTGGATTAGAATCAAATCTTATTTGTTGGATTCACATCACAGTTTGGAGTCTTGGATAGAATCCAGATGTTGAATCTATATTATATATATAGGAGGGAATAATCCACATCAACGGTGTCCTATGCTTGCCATGAACCCCTAGAAATTCCCCTTTGTTCTTCTTTTGCATTTTTGAAATGTATAAATAACTATAAGATATTAGGAACTCAATTGTCATTAATTGCAAAACGGATTCAATTTCCATTAATCTAAACATCTATTTATTATCCCTTTATTCAATTTAGTATTAAATACTCTATTTATTATATTAGAAAATTTGTTTAATATAAGAAACTAAATCATAACCATTATCCATGCCTTATCCCAACCATATGGGGTCAGCTACATGAATCATGTTTCACCAATCCATTCTATATAATAATATAAGAAACTAAATACAAAAATTAATATAAGCTTATATGCCTAATAATATTAAAATTAAATAAACCAGTTAATTTGGCTAGCTAATTCCTAACCAAAATATTATATATTATATTAGAAAATATTAATTTAAATTATTAATTCCTTCCAAATTTAATTTTATATTAATATTCTGTGCATTTGATTAGAAAGTTAACTTAATAAAAAATAAATATAACATTTAAGAAAAAATAAAAAAAAAAGGTTCATAAATATCTCTAATTAGCATAACATTAATCTATAATGTATATAAAAATGATTGGGTCCATGTTATCAATTCAACTAATTTGGCCCTTAGTGGGTCAACAATTCAACTATATAGGTCCATGACATAAAATACATCTTGAAAACAATTTGTGCTTTAGAATGGTTATTCTTATCATTTTGAATGGGCAATTAAGTCATTTTACTTTTTATCATCAACCCTGTTTACAGGTCAACGAAAAGTACCGGAACCTAGAAGCTTGAGAGGGTCTTTATCACAGAACAAAATTTGAGGGGTTAAGTTTCACCACCAGGTGATCATGGGTTGGGCCGGGCCTGATTCTAGACATATAGCTTTTAGGTATAAAATATTAAATATATATAATATTACATAATATGTATATAAAATTTTTTATACATTATATAGAGTTCATTTGGTTTGAAGTCGGAATTAAAATCAGAATTCGAATTCGAATGGTCTATTCCTCCTGTCTGGTTCAAACCGAGATGGGAATCGAAATCAATTGGAATGAATTTTCATTATCAAGGGAGGGAAGGGAATGGCCATTAGAAAAATGTCATTTCACCAGAAACGGGAAAACAGTTGGACCAATTCTAGATGGTAAATCCCAATGATGAGTCAGCTTAATTGGGATTTTGGTCGAATTGGGTTAAGGTGAATCCGTACTGATCCATCTAACCTGTTGTCATTGCAGCATTGTAATATTTGTAGTGGTCAGTTCAAAGTTCAATGGATGCTCTTCATTGGGGCGGGATGAGGTTCAGGTTATCCCTACTTTTGTCATCACTAGTAATTAAGCATGTGCATTGCACATGAGAGCTTTTTTCTTCGTATTAATTAATTGAATTTTAGATACATTATAGTTAAGATAGAAATGAAAATTAACAAAAGTAAGAATATGATTAAAAATAAACTTAAATGCTTGTAGTAAATGTGTACGTGTATTGCATGTGGAAATTTTAAATTATAATAACACTTGTTGTTGTTATTATTATTATTATTAAATTTTGTATTTTAGAAATGTTTCCAAATGTTTTTGACAAAATTCTGCACTTTTTCATTTTTTGAGTTCCATCTTTTTTTTAAATATTTATTATTCAATTATGACATCATGAGTTTCTTTGAAAAGTTGGACCATTGGCCCACCATCTAAATAAGAAAATAGTTTTGCTTTCAGATTAGTTTTAAATTATATATTTCATCTACATTATATAAATAATTTCTATATACCATACCTAATCTTTGTTTGACATAATTAATATATAAAATTTCATATATTCTTTTGATTACTTGTACTTTTTTTATTTTTTAAAAATTTATTATTTAGTTATCATATCATAGATTAGTTCATTTGACCCAAACCATTAATCTACCATACTACCACCCAAAAGGAAAAATGGTTTGATTTCTATGTTGATATTAAATTTTGTATTACATTTTCATCATTGATAAAATTATTTCTTATTTATAATACTTATTTATGTTTAATATAATGAATGTATAACATTAGATATGTACCTAATATTTTATTTTTTATAAATACATAACATTAAATATGTGCCCAAATGTTTCTCTATTTTTTTTTATTTTTGTGATTCTTTGTACTTTATATTTTTTAAAATTTTATTATTTGACTATAGCATCATTTCATTTCTATGTTGGTTTTAAATTTGCCATTCCATTTTCATCATTAATAAGAATACTTCTTATATTTCATACTTATTTTTGTTTAGTATAATGAATATACAATATTAGAAATATGTCCAATTCTTATTGTTTTTATTTGTATTATATTTAACTTTTTTTTATTTTTTTATTATTTAATTATGACATTATTTATTAACCCATTTGACCCCATATGGTATAATTTCTTACCCACCAAAGAGAGGGAAGAAATTGGTTTTATTTTTATGCTATTAAAATTAATATTGTGGATTTAATTAATAGAATTTAATGATGAGAAAAATATATCTTAAATATAGGATTTAATGAGAGAATACCTTAAATATGAGATTTAATGAGTGAAAATAGAAAAATAGTTTTATTTCCAATTAATTTTAAATTCTACGTTCCATTTCCATCTTTGGTAAAATCATTTCTTATTTATCATGCTTATTCTTGTTTAATATGTTGAATATATGATGTTATTTTTATATTTTTTTGCATCTTATCTATTTTTTAATTTTATTATTTAATTGTAACAACATGGATTGTCCCATTTGACCCAAAATGATTTAATTTCTTACCACCACTTAAATGAAAACACTTTTTTTAAATGTATATTTTAAAAGTATAAGTTTTTGTGTTATTGAAATTATTAATTTATTAGATATAGATTTAATTAATGGAATTTAATGATGAGAAGCAACAAAAATACTCTACTAAATATGGGGATGTTTGGAACCGTGACCGTTTTTCAAAAAAAACGATGCCACGTCGGATCCACATAGGTGTTTCAACAAACGCCCATATATTTCATTGTTTGGTTCAGGCGTGCCTTGTAAATCGGGACCCCACCGATGCATGAAACGTCGGTGAACCGTTTCCCCCAATAGTTAATTGATTGGGGATTACGTGTATCCTATATGGTGTTTACCTGTCAACACATACATAAAAAACGGTGATGAAAATCACCTTACCAAACAGCATAGTGTTGCTCATTGCCTACGTGGCAGAAACACTCTCAAACAAAATTAAAGTGTTTTTTTTTTGTGAAAAATGGGTCTTGGAAGCATAGGCATTTTTTTTTTTTGAAAATCAGTCCCAATAAATGCCCACGCTTTAAAACACCATCTATATGTTTCAATGAAGATGAATGCAAGTTAATAACTTAAATGTTGGATTTTATGAGAAAGAATCGAATGTATTGAAAATTTAAAATTACCACCTTTCAACTCATTTAATATCAATAACTAATTACCATATTTGTCCTTTTTTTTATCAATAAATTTAAATATAAAAGATAAACTTTATCCTAAAAAAATTTATTGACGCTACCATCCTATCGGTTTCAAAATGAACGGTATACTTTTTTGTGATTCATGAACCCGACAAAAAGTACCAAAAAACCCGACAAAAGCCAATGAAGTTTAAATATGGTATCAAAACCCTACCCACCTAGGAAAAATTGATAACGATCCAACCAACGTCAGACAGAGTAAGGGCCGTTTGGGAGGGATGAGCGGCTCAGCTAAGTTGGTTCAGCTTCAAGCTTCAGCTGCATTAAAGCATTACAGGTAAAGATGCAGGCTGAGCTGAATTGTGAGGCGCTCCGGAGTCCGGATAAACTATAAGAGGATCATTTAGCTCTCCGGATTTTTCACCAAACACAGTTATAGCTTAGTGGGAAATGGGAATATCTCTGTCTTCTATGCTTTTTTTCATATAGAGAGATATTTCCAATACAACGCTGCAAGTAACTGTGCGAACGGTGTGAACAGCGTCTTACGAGGATTGATTCCGATCACTGCGCTTCAACCCTCACAAACGGGAAGTGAAAAGTAAAGAAGCAAAAAACAGTACAAAGTAAAAGCATAAAAACACTGACCATAAGCTTGGTTTTGAAGGCAAAACCCTTGATGTCTTGTCTATTGGACGTCACATCCATTACCAGCTCCTTGAACGATCCAGGATCACCCTCTACTCCTGCTCTTCCATCCACTGCCATTGCTTCCATCAACGCTCTCAACAGTTCTTCTCTGAGCTCCTACATCACACAGACACAGCAACACAAGCAAACATCACTTTTACTGTGTCTGTATTAGCATTACTGTGTCTGTATTAGCATTTAATACGTTACGTCGCAAAGTACTGAATCGTCGCTGTATTCTTGATTTCAATACGGCATGAACAGTAAATAACTTGCCACGTGTCAAGTTCAAATCTCCCCAAAATTTCTCTAATAACGCCTATTATTAAAATTTGTATTCATATTAAAATCCCAGGAATGCCATCCGTCCACAACCGGTAGTACAACGAGGTCTTGAAAAGGATACAAGTGCATTTTGGTCAGTAGGAAGAATTTACCGGCGATGATTCGCTCCCGCCGAAAAGAGTAGGCCCCAATCTCCACCTTATACACTCTGCTGCAGCTCCTGCTCCGGCTCCGCCAGGGAAAGAGATTAAAGTTAAAAACTAAGAAAAACGTAAATTTTAATAAAATAACAGTGAGGTTAAAAGTTAATTTTTAATTACCGAGGGAAGAACAGAGGGAGGTGGAATCGAGAGTGAGGAAGGCAGTGTGGATGAAGAGAAACGGTGAAATTACCCCCAGAATTAACACGGTGGGTAAAACGGAACGATAAGAAAACCGGCGCGCCGATCCCTTCCCCTTCATCACCTCCCACAAACAGCCTCTTGCTCCTTCTCCACTCGAGATCGTCACTCTCTTCATCCCCGTCGTCGATATTTGAAATTTCATTTCTACCCCACGCTCTTTCTCTTATCTACTCTCTATCACCTCCAATCCGACGATCCTCCTCCTTCGTGTCCTTCTTTTCCGTCGATCTCTCGCTCAGATTTCCGCTTCCTCTTCTTGTAGAAGAATCTCATTTCCAGTCGAGATCTAGTAGTCCAAGCTCAGTCCTTCGTAGCCTCCTCCTTCCAAGGATCCTACGCTCAAAGAGCTTCCGTTTCTCTTCATCAAGATCTTCGATCCTGCGAGTTCAACCAATTCTCACTCAACAGTCGACACTTGAAAGCTGTAAACAGAAGCAAGAATAGGACGAGCTCGGTCCAGCGGAATCGTCCGATTCAAGAATTGAATGAAATCCCAATTCACCGATTGGGCGAATACAAAAGGAGGCTCCTTTTAGTTTCTCCTCTGCAGTCTGCACCACCAATGCCGCGTTCAGAGCCGCGGCAGCGAAAAGAGGATTAAAGCTTGGCAATTATATATGCTTGCTGGCTGGCTTGATGGAGACTGACATTGCCCTCGGTCTTAACCTAAATTACGAATCTGTCCCTCCTCTTCTAATCTTGTTTTCAGGTCTCTCAAGTCTCACCGACAGTTCCAGAAAGTGACATCTGGAGACTGGCTTTCTACGTCTTTTGGACCGGACCGGAGCATGTTACTTGCCATGGAAATGTCAACTTCGATGTCAATCATAAACTTGACACGTGGCCAACATATAGGGATGACTTGTCGGGGCCCCACATGTGGTCAGACGACACGTGGAAGGATCAAGGAAGAAAGCCTCATGGTTCGAGACTTCGAGGGTTGTGATATCAGAAGAAAACCGTTACTTAGACGGTCAGGTAAACGTCATAATGAGATAAGCAAGCACTAGAGGTAGAGGGAGTGGGATTTTGGTGCTTACGTGGGGGAATGGACTTTTGTGGATCCCAACGCCCACCCTGGATTATGATGAGCAGTTTGGCCCATTCGTTTTATGCGGGGGAATGAGGACAGCTTATGGTGGGCCCAATTGGAATGGATCTCAGCCGTACAATGTAATCAACTTATTATAAAAGGTCCAAATGAGGATCAGTAGAAGTGGGCCTGATTGATTGGACCTTTGGAGCATTGAGCCCAATATTCGCTTAGGACAAAGAATTATCAGCTTGGGCTTGGTTTTTTTTTTTTTTTTTTTTTTTTCTCTTGGAAGCATGGGCTTGGTTCATTGAAGCAAGGTGGATGTTTCTTTATACTAGACACAAAAGAAGGGGCTTCCCTTCTGTCCAAATTGTAGAGGGAGGATGTCTCAGACTCAGACTCTCAATGGTTACGATAAATCAGTAAAGAAAAATAAAATAAGGGTCCTTTTGGTTTGGGATCGGAATTGAAATTAAAATTTGTCAGACTCTGAATAGAAATGGTTTATTCTTATAGTTTATCTGGTTCAAATAGGAATCAGAATAGGAATTGAAATTAATTGAAATAGGATTTCATTCCCAAGAGAGGAAAGGATGAAGAAATGACCATTTCATCATAAATGGGAATGGGATTCTAATGCCATCCAACAAAACAGTTTATTCAATTTTGATTCCAAACCTTTATTCTTGCAAACCAAACGGATCCTAACTATGAAGATTAATAAATACTGTTATGTGCAAATTTATGATATGGGAATGAACTGTAGATATGCAATCGGCAATCCCCTCCCCCCTCTTGTATGGATGTGCATTCCTCATTATGATATGGGTCACACCGGGTCCCACAAAATATGTGGCTGAGGTTATTCACTTGGACTATGACAGACCCATTAAGTTTTATATACTTTATTTTTTAATTCAATGCATTAACGAGATTGAGGTGACTCCATATCTGCATGGATCGGATTGAATGTGGATAGAGATATATTTGAATCCAATCCAATAAAAATACTATAAATCTGAATTTGATTTGATATCTTATGGATATGTAAAAGGTAAATTTGAATTTGATTCAAATGCTATGGTAAATCCATTGCAACATAAATCTTACATCATATAGCCAGACCCCTCCTGTGGATTTACCAATTTGATAAATTATCCATCTTTGGCATCACCCCTTACTACATAAGTTAGGGTTTATGAATTGTGAGTCTAAATCTGCCTCTCATAGAGCATCCCTCACACTAACTTTACAACACGTTGCGGCTTGTACCTGTAACATCCAGTATTTATAAAATGTTTTAATTGACGGGAAAATGTTTCAGATGCATAACTGAAACATGCTGTGAAATTGATCTGAAGTACATTCTGTGACGAGCAGATCCGATCTCAGGATTTACCGATTTACATTGCAGCGCTTTATAGGATTCATAAAAAAGTTATATTTTTATATCTCATTCAGTTCAATTATATTTAAGGATTTGGATTAGATTGAATCCAATCCATTACCAGCCTTACCTCATAAATTCATGGGTATTCATTATTGATCTAGAATATTGTGATGGTCTCACATGGATCTCATACATGACACATTTATTGAATTATTGCCATAATGACAATATTCTAGGATCAATATTGTGAGATGCGTGGGTATAAGTAACATGCATTAATTACACATTGCCTCAATATTCTCCTTACCAAATAGCCTAATAGTATTAACTGCAATAAAGTTATTTTAGATCTAAATGTTCATGAAACTTGAAAGTCAAGGAGCATTAATTTAAAAGCACTCATGGAGGTTTTGCAGCTTTTGCCCCCTCAAGGTGGCATGGCATGGCATGGCTAGAATGGCCATCATCATGAAATGCTCATGAAGCATGATCCCCCCTCCCCAACTTTTTTGGGATTCTCTTAAAACTTACCCTGATTTTTACAAACCGCTTTTGCTATGACATGGTTTTAGCCTTGGGCTGAAATCGTGGAATAGCAACCTTTGATATATTGTTGTCGTCTCACCTTGAATCAGATTAAGTGATGCATCTGGGTTGGGAGATGGGCTACCCGCCCCATTTTATAAGCCTTGGAGAAAAAAAAATGATTAAGTAATGTTAAAGTGGGGCCATAACAATACATCCAAGGCTGTGATTCACGTTTTTCACCCAAGGCCAAAACCACATTCTAGCAAGAGTGAACTCCCTCTAGAGAGGAGATGGGATTCCCTCAAAGCAAAAATTCTAGACACACGCTAAAAGCATGGGTATCTAGTCACACGTTGAGACCATCTCCTCATGAATTTGACATACATGTTGTGGTTGGATGTTATGTATACAAAGTTTTTGCTTCCAGGAGATCTAGCTCCCTCTAGAGACCCTCTTGTGGGGCATTTTCTATTAAAAGGCAAACAATCCCTACAAGATTATCATAACACCCTTCTGTTCATCTCTACCCTTTAACCCAAAATACCCATGATCATTAGCTTGATCTAGAGGCAAAGGCCAAAGTTTAAAACCTATTTTTGTGTGAAAAAAAAAAACAAATGAAAAGGTGAAGCATTATGTGTTGTGAAATGATTGAATAACATAAACTAGGGTATGAAATGAAGCAAAAATATTTTTATCATTGAAAAAATAGTCAATAAGGTTTATTGGTTTGTTCAGGGTTAATTTTGTCAATAAATAAATAATAATGATACAATAAATCACTTCTATTATGGTTGGACAGGGATAATTTTGTCAATAATGTATGTATTCTTTTCACAACCACTTTTTTATAGGAACTTGATTTAAAAATAACCTAAATATTTTAAAACGGTTCATCCATAGGTAGGCATTTGTATTTTGATAATTAGATTTTTCCTTGGTTTAGGTGAGTTTTAAATCAAATTGTGAAAAAACTGAAAATGGAAAAAGAATTCTCCATGCTTTCAAATTCCATCCAATAAAAAGATTTCGTGATTACCTCCCTAAAATCTTCAAGCCTACACAAGAAAGGGATTTTAAAATGACTAGCCTTAAGTAAATATTTTAAATCTACTCAAATGTGAGAAATTGTTCTGCCCACGGGCCAGCTCGTGCCTAGCCCTCCTCCCACATTGCTTGGCATGGCACGGCCCAACTGGACTATATATAGTTTTTCCTTCCCAAAAATGGTTAAATTACAAAAAGCCCCTTGTATTATGGGGTCAGTGACAATTATCCCCTTGAACTTTCATTTGCAACAAAAACCCCCGAGCTTTCACTTTGCAACAAAGACCCCTTATAGTAAAGTTCTGCCAATTAATTTTGAAAAAGAATCTCATTCAACTATTTAACATTTTTTAAATCCTCAAATTATCTTTTTCTTTTTTATATAAATGAGTTATGATTCAATTAGTTTTCTAAACATAATATCATAGTTCTCTCAATTGTTCCAATAAATCCATGCAAATTTCTAGTTGGATTCAATATTCAGATGAAATGGTAGAGGTTTCTTTTCTGATAGAAATAAATTTGAGGTTTTGTTTGATTTTTTTTTTATTTATTGAAGAAAGGAGTGGAAAACAAAAATTTAAAGAAACTTGTTTGTCAATGTCAGAGAGATGATTCTTGTTGTTTTAGCTGATTTCACTGGGAGAAAATGGAGGTATTTTTGGGTTAATTAGGGTTTAAGAGAAAAGGTTAAAGAAAATAAAATAAAATTTATAAGTGGATACTTTGGTAATTTAGCACATTCCATCATCTAACTTAATGCCCAAAGGGTACTTGTGGCAAAGTAAAAGTTTAGGAGGTCTTTTGTCACAAATGAAAGTTCAGGCCAGTACTCCTGCACTTCCGTGCTGTTTCAGCACAACAAAAGAAACGGGTCATGTAGGATACACAAAGGATTGAATTCCCTTTCCAGTTTCCACCCAGTCCAATGAAGCCTTAATTGATTTGGTTCCCTTGGATGCACATTGATTTTTCTTGGTGCAATATTGCCAGCCAAAACATGTTTTGGAATTAATAAACCAAAACGTTTTTCTTTCCCTTTTTTTTTTTTGGTATTGAGTCAAGTTTTGATGGCTCAAATTATAAAAACCTATGGCTCAGTTTGGAAAGAGTATAAATGCAAATATGTACAGCTTAAATACATACAAAATATAAGATTTTACACTCTACATATTTACATTTGTATTCCTTCCAAACTCAGCCTATACTAAATTTTGGAGGTCTTCAAGACCAACTTAACATTTTTCTTTCCCTTTTTTTGGTCCTCAATGTGCTTTTGGATTTGTAGGGATTTTGATTTAAATTCCACTTATGCCTCAGATCTCAGGATCTCAGGAATTGAATGACTACTCCCCCACTTAGCTTTTCAAATTCCATGAAGATTCAAAACTCCAAAGCTAAAAGCCTGTGTTCCCCAAAATTCAAGCCCACCACATGGGGATTTGGAGTTATGGATATTTGGATTAACTTTCGCTTCTTCCTCAAATCACAGGCTTTGAAATGACTACTACCCATATGTATGTTCCCCAAATTCAAATCCACTACAAAATAAACTCCAAATTTGCAGAACAATTTTACA